CAGCCCTTCCTCCAAAGCTGGAGATAAACCCAGAATAAGCTCAGGCCTCAGTGTGACTCATGTCACTCCTTTCTGCAGGTGAGAGGAGCACCCAGAAGTGAAATATGAAGCTGTGAGAACATCACTCAGCACTTCAGGCTTCCCTGCTTCCCTTAATGGTCTGTGGGGAATCTGCCAGGCTGGGCAATGAGCTGGCACAGCATTCCTGACCTCACAAGGACCACGCTGACTCCCAGCAGTGGGAAAACACAGTCATCATTATTTTTTTCGAATAAATCATACCTTGCAGTTATTAAATGGAGCACTGACTCCAGCTGACGTTTGAGCTGGTTTGGTTGGAGAGCAGGAGAGCTGTCCAGCAGGGAGTTTGTCAGCTGCTGCACCATGTGGACCCTCACAGCTGTTTAAGGAATAACACAATATCATGCAGAATATTTCAAATGCAGGCCCTTTGGAAAGCCTGGAAAGTGTTCCACAGATTCTTCTGCAGAGGAGGTTGCCAGTCAGTAGCATGGTTTATTTATTTTGTTTGGTTTTCTTGGGTTATTAAACATATTTTATTTATAGAGTGTGCTTTCTAGAGAACCGTCTGCATACAAGTCCTTAAATACAGCATCTGTGGGTGATGGGCTGCTGTTTGTGTGTGTGGGGCCACTCTGGTGCCAGCAGGGTCTGCAGGAGCTCTGGGGATGTGCATGGAAGTGCTCAGTGAGCTGGAGAGAAGCACTGCTGTGGCTGAGTTTGTGTGTGGCTCCCTGAGCTCACACCCTGTTCCACCACAGCTCCTCACCTGCTGCAGTCCTTCCCCAGCCGATTTCGTGGGGAATCCAGAATGACAAACTCCAGCCATAACCCTCTTCAGCTTAAGCATGGAAGTAACTTGGTGAAAAAGTGTGAATTTGTGTGTGTGTTTGTGTGAATGTTTGCACCATCTGCTCCCCTTCCTGCAGCTCAGAGTGAGATTTTTGGCTCCTGTGCTGGGCTCACACAGGTACCTGTGGTGCTGCTGTCCTCCAGGACACAGCACAGACTGCACAGCTTTTTCCCACTAGAACACACCAATACATGGACACACTGCAGAGCAGGTAGAAATTTAGTCTGGGAATAAACACCCTCCTGCCTTTATCTCCTCTTGTCACCCTCTTAATTAAATTGATATTCCTAATATGTATTCAATTTAGAATTTTGGGTTTTTTTCCTACTGAGAAGCCCAAGTAGAAGGAATTAGGTGCATAAAGGTGTGGCCAGCTGGCAGAGCTGTACTGAAATACAATTTCTGCATTTATAGGTTGGTTTTGTCCTAGCAATCTGCAGAGCAGCCAGTGGGCAAGGAAACCCTGCTTATAAGAGCTATTTCCTATGATTATTAATGCCCTGGAAGCTGCAATCAAATATTGCTAATCCATCACTCATAGTGCTTTGACACGGAGCCATCACAAGGAAAGAAGTGTAGTTTAAGTCATGCTTTGCCTGTAATGGGTTTTGAGAAAACTAAGGTTATCATCTAGAACAAAAGTCTCCAGTTGGTGTCACAAAATGAATTTAAAACTCTTCTGCTCTCTTTGCCCATGTGGGAACTGCTCGTCTCCACACGCCAGCTGATTTCTCTGGAGCAGAAAATTTTGTAGCTGGGGCTATTGAGGTTTATTAAAATGAGCTGTAGACTTTCTGTGGCAGTTTAATTCACAGTTTTCATGTCTTGGCATTTCAAATAATTTTAATCAAATAATTTAATTCAAATGATTTTAATTAATAAATTTAATTAATGAATTTTTAGGTTTACAATTTGTTCCAGAAGTAATGCAGTTTGCTGAGATTACACACATTTTCTGCAGTTTTGATTTTACTGCTGTATTCATTTAGCTCAGCAAATTTATAAAACTAATTAAAACAGAAGTACTATTTTGATTCAAATTGTGAATGAAGAGCAAGGGCCTAATGTAAAATGACACTTGCAGAGAGATTAAGACCAATTGCAACTCTAGGGGTGTTTTACAGCTTAGTTTTTAAAACTGAAAGCTATTATTTTTATAGCATATTCTTGGCATGGTTGTACAGTTTTCATGTTTTGGGATGCCAAGGGAGTGGGAGATTAGGATCTGATTCAGCAGTGTACTGAAACATGTCTGACACCAGCCATGGAGTTGGTCCTCACTGAATTCCTTGGATTTCTTGTTTGCTGAACCAAGATGCTGAACAAAGATGCTGAACCATCTTTGGAGCCGGATCCCATTGCAGACACTGAGGTTGTGCTGCTCCCCAGCTCTTGTTAAGCCTTGCAAAAATAATCTGCAATTGCCAGGCCAGCAGCATCCAGAGGCAGCACCAGGACTTTTCCTTGTCCTGGGAGTGCTCCCTTCTGATCAGAGAGTGGGAACACGTGGGGTTGCTCAAACTCGTTTGGTGACGCGCCAGCGCGGGTTCCAACTCCAATCACCACCTTCCAAGTGACAAATCTGGAGGGGGGAGGGGAAGAGACAATCATTTAATAAATTTCTTATGAAGGCAAATGACTCATACATAAATCAAGCTGTTTCATTAAGGGGGGAAGTCGGCTGAACACGAGGTGACAAAGGTTAACTCCACACTTGTGACGCCAAACCCTGTGCCGCTTTTCCTGAGCAGCGCCTGTCACCATCCCCAGTCCTCTGGCAGCACTGGCATTTCTCATGACACCTTTCACAGCATCAGAAGCAGGCTAAATGTTAGGAGAAATTCACAGAGGACTGTCCTGCTTTGGACAGAGGTGAATGGAAGATTTTGCTCTTTTTTCCTCTCATGCAGCCGCAGTGTTCCCAGTGCCCCCATGGGTGCTGGTCCTGCTGTTCCCCAGATCCTGGCACCACAGCTGTCCCAGCTGATGTCTGTGCAGTGCTGTGAGCCTGTGCCTCTCTCTGGACTCCTGTCCTACCCCATCCCTGTGCTTTTCCTGCTGCTTCCAAGCTCATCCTTGCCCACCATCCTCAGTGGCAGCGGTGGCTGCTGCCGAGCTGCCCATGGGAAAGGTGTTTCCAGGACCCACCTCTGGGCACCCTGCACAGTCCAGGGTGCTTGTCTGACTCAGTCTTGGCTGTCTCAAAGACAGCAGTTTGGATTTGGGCTGATTTCACAAACCTCTGTGCTGTGAATGCACAGAGAGAGGTTGTGGGGTGCTCTTGGGGCTGGATGAGCCATCCCAGTTGTTGTCACCTTGTTTGCAAATGTTGTGGTGTTGTGCTTTGGGGGTGTGTGACCAATTCTAGTGGGCTTGGTTTGTTGATTTGAGTTTTTTGGTTAATGTATTAAGTAATGTGGTGGGTTTAGTGCTGGCTAAAGTCACTAGAGTACTTATTTTTTGTTGTTAGATATGGATTAGGAGGAGGGTAAAATAGGCTTTTTGTTTTTTGCTTGGCTACTGTTGTGGAGCAGGGCCAGCCCCACCAGGGAGCTTAGTTACTTTTTGAGGTTGGAAGTAAGAGAGAGATCTTTTGGGCTTGCCTGTTTTTAAGATGTGGAATTTACAGAGCCAGGCTGAGCTTTTAAATGGTTTAATAGGATGTCAATTTTTAGAGCTAGCTAGTTACTAGGGTTTTTCTTAAGTACAGAAGGAAACTCTTAGCTGCTTTTTTCAGGAAAATTATTTCTGTGGGTGTTTTTTTTCCTCCTGCCCTGGGGTGGACACTTCTTTACTAAATATCAATTAGTGTGAAACCAGCACACCAACGATGGCAATGAAGGGGCATCTCAGCTGCTGCGAGAACAGAAAAATAAAAACCACAGGAAGGCTTTGGCCACACAAACGCAAAACTGAATAATTTTTCGGTGCTTTTGGAGCTTTTAGAATTGATGAAGATGTGGCAGCAAAGAATTTACACATCCTCCTGACCCCATATGGTTGCTCCCCCTGCAGTTCTCCGCTCACGTGTGCAGCATTCCTCTCTCCTAATTTCCTTACACCTTGAGCAGAAGCGGGGCAGGCAGGGAAAGGCAGCACGAACACCAACCCACCATATGTTGTTCCTAATGATGGAGAGCGGTGGGTGTGAGCCGTGCTCTCCTAACATATTCCGTGGGCCAGGGGCCTGTGGCACTGCAGCTGTTGTGCTTTTATTTCCCCCAGTGCTCTCTGCCCAATTCCGCAGCCGGGAGGTTGAGGATGCTGCTGCTGTGAGACGCCTTTGGAAGGCACCTCCTCTGCCAGGGTGCAATTGCTGCCACTTACTCCCCTCTGAGTTACACAGCCAAGTGCCAGGGAACATGGTTATGATCAGGGAATTGCATTTTTCCCCTCCTCCCAAACCTCCAGCATTCAGGACTTTTGTTCTGATGCCTGTGGCAGAAGCCACCGCGTTTCCCAGATTCGCCTTTGGTCCCAGGGCGCCGCTGCTTTTGCACGTGGAGAGCAGCAATGGGAAGTGACACTAGAATTGTGTCATTGCACTGTTAGTTCATATTTTTATAAAACATCAGGAATTCAGAGTATAGCTCTTTAAATGTCTCATTCAAGCAGGCAGGAACATCGAAATGTACGTTGTCTGAAGCCCAGGAGACGCGCACTAGTGTTTATAGTGACAGTAGAAATCTCCTCGTATTCCAAACTCCTCAGGAGAAACATTGATAGCTTTATTCAGAATAATGACACTCAGAATTGCTGAATCATGTTCCCAGAGTGTCTGTCCTGGAGGAAGATCAGTGCTGCCATCCCAGTCCTGTTTCCAGCAACTAAATAATGTCTGGGGTTTGTGTGTCTTCTGGTCTGGGAAATGCATCAGGATGGTCCCAGCTCTACTGTGGTCTCCTTCCCCATTTTTAGTGGAAGATTCACTCCCTTTCTGGTGGAAGTATCCTTGCACGTGGCAGGGGGAATCAGAACCAAAAGGTCTTTAAGGTCCCCTCCAACCCAACCCATTTTGGATTCTGTGTTTTTTTTGGGGAGGGAAGTTGTCACTGAATAAGCCAGTCAAAATTCAAAAGAATTTTTAGCATTATGTTGGCAAGGATGCTCAATAAAAAGCAATAAGGAGAGTTGGCCATTAAAGACTTTATTAATCTGACAGACAGTGTTTATTTGTCATATTTTTTGATACAGTGCCGAATTATCTGGCAGTAGTAAAGCCCTGGGTTTAGGTGACCTTGTGGTGAATCTTGGCCATTTTATTTTCCTGAGTGCTACAGGGAGGCTCGTTTCATTTTTATGGAAGAACTCTGAGGTCTCTGTATGAGCTCCACAAGAAGTAGCAAGATTCTGCTATTACATTAAATATAAGACCTGCTATGTGTTAAAATAAAGGGGAAGTCTGTATTAAACTGGCACAGGGCAGAAATTAACCTCATATTCTGAAAAAGGCACTGATGCCATGCAGTCTATTTGGAGATCATTCTGCTGATATTTCTCTCAGCTACATCCTTATTTTTTTCTTTTTGAGGGGTGGGGAGGGAACCAAGCTCTTGTGGCTGGGTTCATTTTCTCCCACTGCTGCTTTTTTCATTGAAGTCATCATAATCCTCCATTTGTGACATCAGAGTTACTGGCTAGCGAGATAATTATGATTTCACAAACTGAAGATTATGACCTTCGAATGAGGAAGGCACAGCGGGGAGGACAGATTCCTAAGCAACAGCCATCAGATATTTGTGAAATATTTGCAAAAATGTCCTTGCAGTTTAAAAAAAAATGAGGGAGAGAGGGCAGGAGGGAAACATCCAAAAAATATTATCAGCAGAATGAGCTGCCAGCCAGCATTTTTTTCCCCAAGTTTTCCATTTGGTGCCCATGATTCTCTAACCTGTCTCATTTAGCCTTAATGAACACGAGACATTTTTTTAGCATGCCATATGTGCTGTGGTCCTTAGGAAAAAAAAAATAAAAATAAAAGCATCTAAATAACTTATTTTTTATGTTCTGACTCTAGCCAATCATAATTTACATTTTGCACAGTTTGATGCCCATCTGCAATGTTTTTACTATCAGAAAAGGTAATAAGAAAGGGAGGAAAAGAACCACAGGAAGACGTTGAATGACTGACACAAGAAATCCTGGTTGGGAGAAAATAATTTTTGTCCCTGTGTAAATAAGCAGATTGGAAAATGGGCTGGATTTGTGGCTCCAGGGGTAGGGTCAGCTCCTGTGTCAGCAATGGCTGGAGAGGAACCCCAGCAGTTTTTGGGGAGTCTCTGGGAGTCTCTTGCTCTTGTCAGGGGGTGGTGAGGATGGGATGGGGAGGATGAGGAGCAGCCATGCATCCTGAAAATGAGCTGAGTTGTGCCTCAGATGGATCTTTTTTTTTGTAATTTTGGGACATTTAACGACTACAAAATTTCCCCATCCAAAGCTCCTTGCAAATATTCCCTCCTGAAAAGGTGAAAAGCCTCGAAAGGCCACGGATTCCTCTTCCATCCTCCCTGTCCTTCAAAACACCAGAATCATGAATTTTATCCTTGGAGGCTGGCAGGAGGAGGAAAGGAAGGAGTCACCAGAGGGAGGTCCCAGATGGTTCCAGTGGCCCATTTTCAGTGTGTGGCTTTGGGTTGGGTTTGGGATGGGGTTTAGGGCATTCCAGGAAGGTGCAGATGGATTGAGCCTCTCACGTTCTGCTGAGCGCGACGCGGGGCCTCGCGCTCACCCACTGCAACAAATGATCACAATCACTTCCAGTTAGGAAACAATCAGCATTCCCAAACAAACCTCCAGCTGTGGCAATCCAAATTAGTCACGCCAGGCCACAGGAGAGATGGGATATGCCAGAGGTTTGGCCTCCCTGCAGCCCCACCTTGGCCACCACACAGGGTGTTGGACACAGGAGCAGGGCTCTGGTAGCGTCCCACTTCCCATTTTTCTTCCTAATGTTGTCTATTTTATTTTTCCTTTAGTAGCCTGAGTCAGAAAATGTCTCCTATCCCTCATTTGGAATGGTACCAGGTCAGGAATGTTTCATTTTGATACCAGGAGTTATTCCAGCCCAAGGAGGCTTTCAGTTACTTCCTCTGAGATTGTACAAAGTCAGAATCGAAAATGGGTTGCAGTGGTCAGAGCAGCCTTTGTGCCAAGCTGCCAAGGGTTTATTACTTACAGATTCCTTAAATTCAGCAGGTGACCATAAAAAAGCTGCATTTTTTTATGTATGTGGCATACAGAAGAGAAATTCCTGGTATTAGCATTAGCTCCCAGTGCTCCACGGGGATGTGAGGAGCGATGGGAGGCAGGGGACTGTGCTGGAGGAGCTCCTGAGAGGAACCACGCACATGGAAGCACAGAATGGGTTTGGAGGAACATCTAAAGCCTTCTAGTCCAACTCCTTGCCATAAGCAGGGACGTCTCCAAATGGATCAGGTCACTCAGAGCCTCATCCAGACCCTGAATGTTCCTAAGGATGGGGCTGCCACCTCTCTGGGCAACCCGTGCCAGTGGCACCGAAACTTCCTCGTGTGTAAATTCACCTGAGTGAAGCTCTCTGTCCAGGTTTCTTGACACTGGGGATAAAATTCAGGATTTCTCTGTGGGTCAGGATCTCCTCCCTGCAGCCAAAGTCACATCAGGCTGTGTAAAATAGGGATGGGATATTTTTCTGTAGCTCTGAGCATTAAGGATACTTCCAGTGCAGGTGATGTACCGGGGATATTCCAGAGCAGTCACAGCTCAGTCCAACTTGCACTTGGAATGCTGGAGCCTGGAATACCCCAATGCTGTCATCAGGGCTGCTTTGCAAAGCAGAGGAAGAGAGCTGTATCCATGTGGCCAATTTACAGTCAGAAGCACAAATCCAATCCAAATCCTTCTGTCCCAGCTGAATCTGCAGCAAAGCGCTTGTGATCGAGATACTGCCTAAATCACTATTTGTATAAAATATTTAGTGACTAATTTCTCATTACAGATGCTTTGGGAAATGCTGTAAACTGCTTGCAGACAATTGAAAAATTAAAAAAAAAAAAAAAAAAAGAAAAAAGGAAGGGAATTATTGGATATGTTATTCAGTGCAAGTGATTTGACCAGCTTTAGGAACTGCAGTGTTAAATCATGAGACAGAGCATCTGGAGTCAGCTGAGAATTAGTAGAGAATAAAGGGGCAGCAGAACCATGCCAGGTACCACAGGAACAAGTGTATATATCAAAACAGAATTAATGCAAAGCTGTAGCTTGAAAACATTGTGGTTTGAGTGAGAACCAGGTGCTGAACTGACCCACTGACCTTCCCTGAGCCTCCCTCCTATGGCTGGCCCTGCTCAGAGCAACAGAGGTCAATTTTTTTTCCTAGTTAATAAACAAAAAAACTCCATTTACTTCTTCAATTTCACTTCTGCTAAACACGAACCTGTTGCAGTGAACTGAAAAAACAACAGAATAAATAACGCAGACAAATACATGGAGGAGTTCAATTATCATTTTCCCCCATTGAAACTGCCTTTTAACAACTACATCTTCTGACTGACAGCTTATTAATACTAATTACTTTAGATATATGCAACATAACTAGTGCACTGGTACTTTCAATTATCTTCCCTTGTCTTCATTCCTTCCCCTGTGCTCCCATCCTCCCTTTTCATGCCCCATAACCACAACCTGGAGCTGCAGCTCAGAGCCAAAGGAGCAAAAGCCTCTCATTTCTTACACGGGCAGGAAAGGCCACAAAATCTCTTGTGTTTGTGTGTGTTTGTGATGCTGTGTGGGTGCTCACTGAGGGGAAATCCCAGCCTTGGCAGTGGTGGAAAATGCTTGGAATGTTTGGGGGAATTCTCTGTGGAAGTCCTGTGAATGTCCTAAGAAGTTTTAGCAGTTGGACTCAGTGATTTTGGAGGTCAGACTCAGTGGTCCTGGAGGTCTTTTCCAGCTTTAGTGATTATATTCCACGATTCCAAGTTCCACTGGAGGTCCTGTAAAGTCCCTGTGCAGGTCCCACAGTGTTTCCAGCTGACACACCCTGGTTTATACATAATTTTCACAGCTTTCACAGATTTTCAGTGTAACCCCAGAGCTGATCCTGGGGAATCCATACTGGGTTGATCCAGGCTGGAAACAGCTCCCCACTACCAAAACCTCACCACCCAAAACCAACATGATCTGCAGCAGTTTTTTGGGAGAGCTGAGGCTGCAGCAGCACTGACTGACCCAGGTCCTTGCTCAGACCAAGTCCTCAACCCTGCATCAGCTTTGTTTTAATCCCTACTTAATGAACTCTCAATTGCTTATGCAAATCAAAGCAGTGGAGACACTTAAAGGTTATTTATAATTCCTGGAAACATTATGAAATCAATCATTCCGTCTTTTACAGATTCTACAGTGTCATTTAGATATCTAACTTTTTACTTATAATGCTCTAACAGTTTATGTAAGAAGACAAATATGTTTTGGTTTTATTTTTTATATAAGCTTGCTGATTGCTAAAACATCTATGACAGCTGACATGGAAATCAGGGAGGTTTTGATTAGGCTTTTCTGATATGTAAATGTGTGTAAATGAGTTTTATATATATTTTGATTTTTTTTTTAAAAAAGTTCTATTTAAAGAGCAGGCAACAGTATCCCATATAAATTAAAGAGCAAGCCTGAGAGGAATGTTCATGTGAGACTGACTTTGAGATGTCCTGAATGGTGCTGGGAGGCAACATGGGCATAAACAGAATCACCAAATACCTTGAGATTGTTTTCAGTAGTGTTTTCCTGTGGGGTACACTAGGAGTTTTTTAGCTGGTGCCCAGAAGAAAGCACTGCAGGGTTCATGAGGAGCTGGAGGTGCTGCAGGTGATGAGCAGCCCCACCTGGGCAGGTGCAGTGGGTGTTGCTCAGGCACTTCATGGCTGCAGGATTTCTCCCAGCTGACAGCAAATTTCACACCTGTCCTCTGTAGAAAAACCATAATTTGTACTGGTTTAAATCAAGCATTTGTCTCCTTGGACACAGAAAGCTGGCAGTGGTTCCCTGCAGTCCATCCCAGTCTTGGTATTTTGAATCCATTAAGTTTCCAGAGTGTGCACACCAGACTGAAGAGAGGAGTAGTTAAATTTGGGGGTCCTTGCCACCTCTCTTTTCAGTTTCAGCCTCAAAGAGTCAAGCTGAGGTTTCCAAGTAGCAAGTCTGCTCTTATGGAGCATCTGCCATCTTCTACAAATCCTTTGGATCACAGGGCAAACAAAAAGCCAGGTTGCAGGAGCTGGACCCAAACCTCCCCTTGAAAAGGGAGAAGTGGCTGGTCCATCTGCAGCCTTGGACCTCCCATTTGTGTTGTGCCCTGCTGGAATTTGTGTGCAGTGTGATGGGGTTCTGTTAATTCACCTGCTTTCTTTCATCTCTTGAAGTAAATGAACAGCTATTTTAGCAGTATCAAGGTAAATCTGTAACATTTATTTTGAAAAGGAGAAAGAGCTCAGAAGATTACCAAGGTGTCCAGCTGTGATAATATTACCTGCCTTGTAAAGTGCCGTAGGTGACTCTGAAGATGTAAAGCAAATTGAGGATTACATTAACTTCCTCCTGACTTGCTCAAATTATTAATTCAGTATCACCAACTATCAAATAGAGTAGGGTTATTATTTTTTTAAGTATAAATGAATAACTGTGGTACGTGGCAAAGTACTGCCTGCAAATAATTAAAGGCTGTTTTGATTGTATCTGTAGTGGAGGTTGTTATGTCTTTTTGGGTGTTTTTTTAGTGTTTTTCTTATAATACAAGATTATAGCAGCCTGCATTTACATTCAGCTTAAATAGGCAGAGGAGTGAGTGCTGCATAGCAATGTGATTTTGGAATAGAATAGTTTTACCTTGGAGAGTCACAAGTTTTTTTTTGGTCTCTTTGTCTCACTGCAGGGCACATTTGTTACCTGTTGCTCAGGGGGCAAAGACCCTGGTCACTTCCAGAGCAGGTCAGTGGCAGAACTGGAAACACCATCCCTCTCTCCAAAACATTTTAGTCTCCAGCATAATGTGCAGTTTTGGAGAGCTAATTCCCCCTTTTTCCACAGAGACAGTTCTAGTGGTTTATCCGTTCAATATATAGAATAAATATTCATATATAACACTAATGCCAGTGTTGGAAGGCGCTCTGCTTGGCTTCTCTGCAAGTCCCCCCTTGGAAGGGACTTGCTGATTCAAAATGCACAATTTTAAGAGGTGCCATTGTTGGGTGAGTGCCTGAGCAGTGTCAGTAATTCTTTTCCTTCAGTCCTGGCTTTTGCCTCTTCCCAGAAGCCTGAGCTCCCAGGGGCCGTGGGAAGCATTGCAGGGCTCGTTCTTGGAGGATGTGGCAATTGCAGTGATTTAGAAGAGGATGCTGACTCACAGCTCATATTAGCAAAGCTGGAGTGGATGGCACAAAACTGTATTTAAATCTTCTTTAGCTCTCATGTTCAGGCTGCAACATTTTTCTCTGGTGGAGACGTGGCCTTATTGATTATTCATTATTCCTTAACCTTGATACACTAGAAGAGGGAGTAGAAAGAAAGGGTGGGAATGGACAGGAGCAAATATTACCCATCACAGTGGATAAAATGATGGCTTTGGGGATGGATCCCCCCCAGTTAGAGGCTCACACCAGACACCTGAGCTCCTGCAATAAGAGCGAGGCAGGAAAGGCGGCGAAACCTTCACCCAGCAGATTAAAGAATTACAATTATCTGTTGGGGCAGAACCCTGCAGTGTCTTAGCCCCAGGATTGATACAGAAATATATTTTGCAGTTCAGGTTCTCTGTTGAGCCAGGCCTGGGTGGTCCCCACTTCCAGGGCAAGGTGTGGGATGCTGCAGTCAGTGCTGCTCTGGGATGCTCCCAACAGTGAGATCACTCTTTAAATTCCCTTCCCTCTTCCATTAATCAGGAGCAATTTGAAATCGTAAGAGCACTGTAGCATTTCTGTTAATCAATAACCAACAGAGCTATTAATTTTCTACTAATATATTCTTCTTTAGTGTGCAGGGAGTGAAAACTCGTCGATTACCTGTGCTGATCCTACCCAGTGCCCTCGAGGGTCAGTGCAGAGGTTTCTCTGCACTTCTGGAGGTGCTCTGAAATGCCCCATTGGAGGTGGTGAGAGATACAGGAGCTCTAAAACCCCTCTCACTGCTGTTTCATCACTTCAAGAGCTCTGCTCAAGTCCTCACCCCCTGTCCTGCAGCAGGATGCCAGCTGGAAAATTAACACCTACAGAATTTTGCAGTAGCAGAGCTCTGATAATGAGTTTAACAAATAATTAGCTGCAGTACCTCTTTGTTTTATAGAAGTGCAATAGTTGATGAACTTGCTGTGCCACAATTAGGAGCTCATTAGCAAACAAAAATTCAAGGCTAACAAATACCTTAAGGGGATGTTTTTTGGAGTATGTAATGAAATCATGAGATCAGTGAGGAAATGTAAATTCTCCTGCAGGACCAGGGACAAGGCAGGGTCTGGAAGTCAGGACTAAAGCTCACTTTATTTGTCAGATTTTCAAATTTTAGTTCTTTTCTGTGTCACGAGAAATGGCACCGTGTCTCCATTTTATTTTTCCCAGCTAGTAAAACCCATATTGGTTTTCTATTCTGTTATTTAGTTTGAAGGTTTTAGAAAAAAGGACACGTTCCTTTTGCTATTGCAAGACGTGTCTCAGAAAATAGCTTTTTCATTTGTTTTGATCTGTTTTTTTAATCTATTTCTCAGTCTCATTGAGGAAATAATCCTACAGAAGTATTCCTGAGCTGCTCACAAAGCAACAGGAGATATATTCCATGAATCCACGCACTCCATCAAAGAGTGTTTCTAGGAATGTTTTGCTATTGTTTCCATGCTTATTTGCCATGTCATTTTCTGTGGTTAACTCACCTTGTCTCCAGAGATCCGTCCCTCATTCTCTTTGTAATGGATAAAGCAATAGGACAAAGAGAGCTGGTTTTTACCCTTGTCCCGAGAAAAACCTTTCAGAAAACGATAATGGGCTCCTAACAAACGAGAGAGCTGGTTATCACTGGGGAGAATTAATCTCTGCCTTGATTGAGAACACCTAAGCCAAATTACGAGCTACAATATCCATCTGCTTGCTGTTACTCGGCAATATAGATTTATTGTGACATTTTGGAGAAGGAGTAAGAAAACATATGAACAACTGTTGTGGTTCATTAGCCCTTTATTGGTAAAATGTGGTGCTCAGGGCTGCGAGAGGTGCAGGGAAAGACAATCCTTTGGCTGAAATCGTATTCACGAGGCTGTGGAGAGCATTCCCAAGGACAAGCTTACAGATCAGCTGCTGCTTTTTGTTCCCTGACTGTGGGGTTGTTTTCTTTTTGGTTGAAAGTGGAGCAATTCAGCCCCAGGAGACGCACCAGGATCCTGCCTGCCCTGGCATTTCCAGGGTTGTCACCATCAGAAGCCCTTCGATCGTGGCAGGTGTCTAAGAAGGAAAATCCATCCCTGTTGTCACTTTCTCACAACTATTGAATTTTAATCCACTCTGGGGGGCTGTTGCACGGGTACAAGCACACAGGCTGTTGATTTATTTGCAGTTAAGGCTCTCAGAGTCAGGATGTTAAAGCCTTCTAAAGCCAACTCCCTCTTCATATGGGAGAACCTTTGGAAATGCACTTTAGGTTTATGACACTGGCTTGGCTTAATTTAATTTACGGTTCACTTAACCGATTATTCAAAATACCAGATGTGACAGACAGTAGATTCAGCTGAAATATTACCTCACAGGCATGTTCAACACATAGAATCTGCTCTCCATATGGGAAGGCACAGAATGTCCCCCATCCCCATCCAAGAGCAATCAATTTGGTTTTTGAAAGGAGAGTGAGGCTTAGTGGGAGACAGGGTCCCTTATTTCTCCTGAACCTTTGCAGCAGCTGATGTGAGAGTCTAACCCAGGCTCTGCTGCGTGAGAAAAAATGTGAACTTCTAAAAACGCCACAGGCAAAGGATTTGTCATGTGTAAAACATTTGTTGCTTAGTATTTGCTGATGTTAAGTAATTCTTAGCAACTGTAAGAAGCACAGTAAAGGCAGTAAAGACAATAAAATAGTGGCAGAAAAGTGGAACATCCCAAGTTTTTAAGAGAATGTTTCTTCTGGTGGCTGGAACTGTCTTGTGAAGTGAGGGGCTGGACATAACAGTGTTGGTAAAAGTGAGTGTAGGTCACAAATACTTGTTGACTTTATCATAGAAACATGGAATCATGGTTTGGATTGGAAGGAACTTTAAAGCTCGTCCAGTTCCACTTCCTGCCATGGGCAGGGACACCTTCCACCATCCCAGGTTGCTCCAAGCCTCATCTAACCTGGCCTTGGACACTTCCACAGCCACAGCTTCTCTGGGCACCCAGTGCCAGGGCCTGCCCACACTCCCAGGGAATAATTTCTTCCCAATATCCCATCTAACCCTGCCCCATGTCATTGTGAAACCATTCCCCCTGGTCGTGTCATTGCACGCCCTCATCCAAAGTGCCTCTCCAGCTCTCTTGCAGCCCATCTGGGCACTGGAAGGTGTCTCCAGAACCTTGGGTGTTTCCCAGGCTGAACACCCCCATCTCTCCCAGCCTGGCTCCTTAGGGGATGTGCTCCTGTGGTCCCTGAGCTGGGGGAAGGTGCAGGTGCTTTGAGAGCTGGTCCTTTCTGCGGGCAATGGCCACCAGGTATGATCAGAAGAGTCCCAGCAGTCTCTTGAGCCCTCTCTCTTTGTCTCTCACCCCTTGCATTTATCCTTTGGAGCAGGATGATGTGTTTAGTCAAAACAAGAGCAATGGAGGCATGATTAATTCCAGCAGTACCTCTAGTTCATCAGGCAAGAGCTCTCTCTTCTTTTGGGGAACATCAGATGCCCATCATCCATCCTTCTGAAGTTTATGGCCTGAGGTTCCTTCATGTCAGGGCAGGACCTATCTAGGGCACTCCCCTAGACCTTAACTATTAAAGAAAGATTAAAAATTAAATTTCCAGTAATGCAGGAACCTGAACTTTGAACTCCCCTGTGTCAGTGGAATGTTAATCTGATCTCGGCAGTACCCGATAAAGTCGATCTGTCTTCCTCGCCTAGTTAATTTTTAATCATTTCTATGGATAGAAGGGCTCTGCTGGATGGGACTAAGAGCAGACTGCCTTATCCCAGCCCTAAATCCCAGCATGGAATGGGGGAACAACAACTCCTCCCATTATTTATATTCTGTATTCCACCCCGTGTTTGTTTACCTGAGCCTCGGTACGTAGGTGTGTTCTCCCAGCTGATGCTCAAGGGTAATAGTACACCAAAAAATCTGCTCACGTGCACATATTCACAGGATATTGTCAGGCTGTTAATGGGAACAGTATTTCCTAGGTCCACAGCAAATGTTTGTGGCAGTGCTGACTGGGAAAGAGGATTGATCTGTTCAAGAACCAAACCGCTTTTAGCTCCGGTTCTGGGGTGATTCAGTGGTATATCCAAAGGTGTTTCTCTCAGACTCGATAGAAAAATTTCAAATTAACTTTTAAAGCATTATTTAAAAGATGATATTTTGATTTTGATGTTGGTGAATTTTGCAATATTCCTGTTGTTCTGCATCAACACTTCAAAGCCAGTGAGGGTGTCAAGATTAATGCCCAGTGTCAGCACAGCACCGAATATGCTGAGTTTTATCATCGGTGTGAAGGGAGGGGATCCAGAGATTTTAGAGCTCATCTCCACTACATGACAGTCCCAAATTATAGTGCTGGGATAACAGCAAGCACAGGGCCACTGTACCCAAAACCACTCCAGACCTTCCTGGCTCTGCCACCCTCTCTCTGCTGGAAGGGAACAGCGTGACTCTGTTGGTGCCACTGGTGGGTTTTGTGGGCAGTTCCCATTAAAAACCAGCCAAAGTCCCTAAAGGGAAAGGTGTGTTGCTGATGGCCAAAGGATCTCAGCAGAGAAAGTCAGAATTACAGAGTCCCCAGGTGGCTGCAGGTGGGGAAATGTTCCCTTAAAAATGGACTTTGCAGAGTCTGAGCTGTCCAGCAGCTAAAGGGCTTTCAGAACCTAACCCCCATTAATTATCTGCATGTAAGAAAAAGCTGGGTCAGCAAGAAAATGTAGACAAGACGAGGCAAGAAGCTGTAGATGCAATACAGGGAACAGATGTGTGCACTTCTCTCCCTAGATTATCCCAACGTGTGCATTTGGGCAGCCATAACCTGGAATAATGTTGAATTCCCATGTTTTTCCCAAGGTAGGGTGTTTGGAACCACTCTGTTTTGCCTGATCTCAGCTCTCACCCCTCCATGCCTTTCTGTCCAGTGCCCTTTGGGGGAGCTAATTCTGTCTGGCAGTGTTGGAGGTCACAGCTCTGTGGAAATAATTATCAGAAATGCAAATCAACGCAAGAACATTTTTTTAATACTTCGTGCCTGGAGCTGTGCTAAACTTAGCAGTGATGAATAAACAGCATCAGCATTCCCCTCCTGGAAAGGACAAAGTCTCCTGGTATTTGGGATGTCTCTGGTACTTTTGCTAGCTCGGTGTAGCCAACCCTGAACATTTAATAACGTGAACAGGCCCTCAAAAATTATTTAAAAAATAATTGAGATTAATAAACGTTGAATGTTTTCATTTCTGAGTTTTCATTTCTGAGCCTTGAAGGTGTACTTAGCTAACATCTTCCTCTGCAACCGAAAGGCTGGGAAATTACTTCTAGTTAATGATGGTGAGATACTCATGTAATCACCTTATTTCAGGAGAAAGGCTTTCAAATAAACTCCAAGAGACTCGTGATGAAATAGCAGGAGCTGGCAATGTTGAAATACGAGCCTCTATCATTAAACCATTCGTTCTTAATTAGTTTTTATTTGCAATATTGACAGCTAATCTCTTCTCTCTGTTATACCTGTACAACTTCCAGTGACTGGCATAGTACATATAGAAGTAGCTGTAGTTATAATTTGGTCCTCTCCATGTAAGATTTCCAAACCACACAGGATTTTTTAGGAAAATTAAAGTGTGTAAGACATGTGGCCAAGAAATTCCAGACCTGACCTTGGTTTCTTCTGTTTTAGACTGAGAGGCTGCTAAAAAAAAGAGGTGGAACACAACTGTGTATCTTTCAACAGTATCCAGTTTTTTTGGGAAATAAAAAAATAAATAAATAGTCAAATAAATAAATAAGTTTTCATTTCAACAAGGTGACATTTGCTGATGCTCACTAATTTAGGAGAGACTGATTTATGCGTGTTTAATCTTCGCTAATGATGACTCCAGGGCAAGAAATGAAAATAAGTGCAGTTAATAATATGTGTATATATTATTAACACCTTTACTGATGGAGAGGGGCCTTCTCCTGGTAGATAAATGTAGAAGAGATTTGTGGGAGATCTGAGTGGCTCAGGGCTGTCAGAACCTCTCTCTAACTTCCCAAAATGTGAAGAGAAGGGATATTTGGACAGTAAAAATGCTCAGCTGATCAACTATTAGAATCTGCATGAAAAATATTTCTAAATACAATAAGCAGCCCAGTTCCTTACCTTTTGGGATCTTCTGTAACAATGAAATTATATGTATTGGTGGTGTTGTTACACCCTGATTATGGCTGGCTTCTCCTCCTGCCACACAAATACTGAGGCGGATGCAACCCTTGAATTCAGTCCTAAATGCTGACAGACAAAACTTACTGCGAATATTAATGTGCTTGGTCTAATCATCCTGCTATTTTTTTGTGTAATTTACTCAATCAGGGAGTTGGAATTCCCTCCTAGCTGTTACAGATTCAAGCATTTATGCAAAATCCTCCAGTCTGGAGATTTACAGTGGATTATCTACAAATATTTGAATACATTAGTGCAGCCCTTTAAATGCATTCCCTTTATTTACATACAGAACAAATAACAAGCGACTTGAATGACAGCACTGTAATTCCATCAAGGAGCTCGTGTCCTGAGAAACCACAGGAATAAACTGTTAAGAGGCCCTTGGGTTCAGTGGAGCTCTGCCTGGAATTACAGCTCCATAACCTGGATTTCATTCATTTTTTTTATTATTAGCAAAAAGAAATAACAACAACCCAAAACAAAACAACAAAAATCCAAACAAACCAACAAAAAAAACCAAACCAAAAAAGCCACAATTTTATAATTCGTGGTGCTGATGTTGTAGTTGGAAAAGGGAAGAGCCAAAGAAGGGTGAGGGTGGAATTTTGCCCTCACTTCCTTCTACCACAGCCCAGAAAAATGAGATTTTCCATATCCATCAGTGTAGCAGCTGATCACAGAGAAAGCATTGGAATCAGGGTGTTGATGGGGTGACTTTGGGACTTTGAAGAGCTCCTTTCCAAATGATCTGCCTGTGTGGTGGACAGGTTACCCTTTATCCATGGTTTTTTTTTTGGAAGTTTATATTATTTGCACTGCTCGATGGGGCTGCTGCACTTGCACTCAGCCCCAGATTATCGTGGTGCATCAGCAAGGATTGATGTGGGAAGAGCAGCCTGGGCTTGGTTTCTGTTCCAAATCTTCCTCTGGAAAAAACAAAAAAGAATAAAATCAGCCCCAAAGACGAGCTGGCTTTCCTCTGTAGCAAGAGAGATGGGTTCCTGCCGATCCCAGAGGTAAAGCCCTAACAGTTTCCATGGAATAGTCAATTATCTGTTTCATTGCACAAGCCAATATCTTTTCTCAAAAAGATGTATTAGGGTGTTTAGTCATTCAAGTGATCCATCTGGCTGAGCATTCAGAGATGCTCCTTAACTTGATTTATCTGGCCCAGAAATGGTGTCCTTGAAGCTTCTGGGCCAGCTAGGTCTGTCCATGTACCCACTCTGTAGGGACAGGGCTGGTGACCTTCAGCTCCTGTCAGGGGTAGGGCTGATGCCATCACACCCCTCTGCCAGGACAGCCTGATTCCACACTGAATTCAAAACTGATGTAGCAGATGAGGGCTGAGGGGCCACCAGGTGCTTCCAAGGAGAATGCAGAGAAGCCCCCAGGCCCCAGATCCCTGATAAGACACCGTCCTTTTCTCCAGCAGAATCTGCACCTAAATCCTGATGGAGTCTGGCTAATCCCCTGCAGCATGAGGCTGTGCACTGCCTTTAAATCTCCTCTGCTTATAAAACACACATTGCAGCTCCAGGATCCACGTTATCCCTGTTGCCATGGGGTACCTCCTCCAGCACAGCTCAGACCCTGAGGAAGGCTCTTTTCCCACCTTCTGTTCCTGGTTTTGCACCAATCCAGCAACAGGGTGCCCCTGGGAGAGGGTGGCCAAGCTCTCCCATAAAGCAAGGAATTGGGATTGCAGCCTATTTGGGTCAGGAATCTTCACCAATTGCTGCAGGGCACATGCTGAGAACCAACCCCAAAGCCTTGGACTGCAGAAGGGGAGGGAAATCCCCCAGGAAGGTTCTGGCTCCCTGGGAAAAAGCCAGGAGGATGCTTGGGGATGAGGCAGGACCCATCTGAGTGCCAGCTCCAGGCACTGGGAATGTCTTGGACACAGGAGCAGCTTAGAAGGATGCTGTGTGTCATGCTTACATCCTCAAAGTGCATGCCAAGTCAAGAGCAGCACAAGGAAATTTAATCAACAGTGTAATATTTTAATTACTAAAAACTTCAGGTGAAATTCCGAGTATTTTTCTTCTGGGCTATCACTCAGCTTTACAGGATAAATTCTTTAAAGGTAAATTATTATTATTAAATTAAATTAAGCTTTGGTTCCAACTTGCTGCTTTCTGAAACTGAAAACTGCCACTTGGCAATGATTTGTTCTCCTCTCCTCCTCTTTTAAAGGGAGGATTGCAGGAAAGTTTAGGTATGAATGCATTTCTTTGCAAGTGGAGTTATATATTTAATATAATCCCAAACAGATTGTCTACTCTAACACTGTTCATTAAATGAACTGTCTGCAAGTGTGATTTACAGTGCAACGTGGTCATGGGAATGTCTGTGTGTATTTAATAACTGCACAGTAATAGCTTATTGGCAGGAGTGGTAATTCGATTTTGGAGTTTTATCTTATTTTTGAGTTTCTGGACCGTGAAATCCTGCTGTCTGACACACTTTTCCATTGCTTAATCTCCTGAGATTTGTGTAAAGAACAACAACTTTCCTCCTTACTGAAGACACAGTGCCCTGCTGTATATTTTTTATTGCCACCCCCCAGTGCT